GAGTCCTTGGCCCGGGCGGGGCGGGGGACCCCGAGCCCTGAGGCCCACACGAGGGACAGCAGGCAGCTGCCCACAGCTTCCCGGACACTCCTGCCCGCAAGGGCCCCGGCCGGGTCTTTTGGCCCAGACTTGAAGTTGGTTCTGGAAGAAGGGCTCTTTGTGCCTCCAAGCCCCCAAGTCCCCATCCGCTAAGGAAAGATTTTACCACCCCCACAAAAGCACCCTCTCGTCTGCTTCATTCTCCCAGAGGTCCCCACGGCACCAGGCACGGTCCTGAACACGTTCATACCACCTAACTCTGAGCGGATTTGCGGGAGCGCTGTGCCGAGTGCATTTGGCTATCTCACTTCTGATAGGGGAGGTGGCCACAGTTCAGAGGACAGTTCTGGAGGTCTGTGGAGCATCTGGGGCTGTGTCCTGGAGTTTACTCCCTAGAAGTTGTTGGCTTTAGCAGAACTTATCAGCTGGCCATGGAGACACCAAACGTCTGGGCTCAGACTGCCCTTTGGATTCTGTCTTAATGGTCTAAAGCGGGCATGGAAGGTCTGGGCAGCCTTCACTTCTCCATACTCCTGCCTTGGTATATGTTTCAAAGGTCTGGGTGACCTCTCACACATATGGCATGATCCAGAAGGACTGATGGTTGCCAAACCAAACCATCAGCTGCCAACATGCCCCACTGGGCTATGGGTGCAGGCAGCATAGCTCTAGCCAGGTCCTGCTAGACATCCACTGGCTTGCCACAATTCTCCCCTGTGCCTGGACAGGACAGATACATTCTTCCACAATTTACTGGGAACGAATCCATAGAAAGAGTCAACCTACTGTCGTGCTGTGTAGCACAAAGGAATCTTAGCACCATGCCCAAGAGAGTACAGTGCCCAAGTGGATACAGTGACTCAAGTGCTATTTTGTAGTGTAACACCCCTCCTCAGGCTAGCCTGACTCAAGCCGTGGCACTTCAGGAGTGGGCATCTCTGTACTGAACACACAAGGGTGGAGGTATGGACATACTATGGATACAAGAGGATACTCCACAATCCCTCTGCATACTTTTACCCCACAGTGGATATGTCTACATGCATACATTTAATGTGCATTAGCCCAATTTAAGATGCATTAAGGGCACATTCTACGTGTGCACTCCCTTAATACACCTTTAAAATGGCAATTTTAGACTATTCAAGCCTTAATTTGATACCTGCATAAAGTAGGTAACAAATTTGCATGTGAATAGCTAAGTTGCATTCATGGGCAACCAGTGCCAACTTAGTCAGGGAAGGCACATGCCCCCCCCCAACTGCGACCAGTCAGCAACCAGAGGGATCCCCCCATGGCCAATCTTGTCAACCAGGAGTGGGGGGGGTCAATCACGCCAACTGGGAAGTGGCTGCGAAGCTCCCGGAAGTGGCTGCGGAGCTTCCTCTGGCACTCCCACTCCCCGGTCAGCGTTCGCAGGGAGGGCACCGGCACTACAGCCTGCCCCCTCTGCTTCGCCTAAGCAGGAAGCGCAGTGTGTCAGGGGCTGCACCAGCGCTCTCGGGGATTGCACGTGCACCACTGTGCACTGTGCACCACCGTGCACCCCTATGCATTACCACTGGTTGCATTAGTGAACACTAATGCACATTAATGTGGTGCGTGTCCATGGACTTGAGACTAACTTTAGTCCCAAATTGGTCTGCACACCCACGTTAATAAGACCTTAGAGCGTGCACAAATCACCTTAATGCACATTAGGCTAATGCGCATTAAGTTTAGGCATGCATTAAAGCACATGTAGACACGCCTAGTAAATGGAAACTAAACTACAATAACTTACCCCTCTTTCATTAAGGGTTAAGTTGCCCTGGTTTGATTTCCATTTACTGGGGTAAAGAGCATTCCAAGGCCTGTGGGACATCCAATGTGTGGTAAAGCCCCACCCCCTTTTCTCCCACAATAAATTGTCCATATGTCCATACCCAGGTCTACAGCAAAGTAAGGAACTGAAAGGTAAGACTGGTGGCTTGTAGAGTCCATATGGGGTAGTAGTATTACTAACACACAGAGGCTGGAGCAGGAGAAGATTAATAGTCATCAAGGCTGACATCTTTGATGGAGCAAAGCAGTTAGAAGCCATATGTTCTGAGGTGCAGGCTCATGGGAGATTATGCTAACAGTGAACCCAGGAAATGTAATAATTGATGTAGTGGGATTAACATCAAATCAGTAGGTAAGGAAGAAGTTATATGGATGGCATGGAAGATGTATCAACAGATCAGGAATTGCAGAGAAGAGGAGGTTTCAGTAATCAAGACAAGAGACGACCAGAGCAGGATGCACTACTCTACAAAGGAAGAAGTGGCACTATCCATCCCAAGCTTGAACGTGTAGGGTAAAGGAGAGGGAGAAGTGGCTGATAACCTCCATGTGGTAGGCCTGGGCAATGAGAGAGGGGCATTTCACTAATCATGACAGACAGAGGAAATATAAAAGGCTTTGATTTTAAAACAAGGTACCCTGACAAATGTCAGTGAGTTGTCAGTGAGACATCCAAGAAGAAAAATTGGAGAGATCAATGCTATATTGGACTGAAGAGCTGGGCAGAGAGCAGGACAAGTAGGTTTCTAGACTTGACAAAGGTGCTGCAGATATGCCATCCTGCTCTGGTTTGGCATCCTCTCTGTCCAGGTGGTTCAGAGGAAGGTACACACAAAAGCAGCAAAATTCCCAGTAGCATTTTTAAATGTGTTGCCTTTTAGCTTCCCTGGTAGACCCACTTTCCTTATATTATGGCAAAGGACAGTAGAAGTGTTTGACATACCTTCACTATTCCATTCATTAATTTATCCATACCTTCGTCATGTTCTCTCTTAGTTGTCTCTTCTCTACACTAACCAGTCCTTTTCTTTTCAAGCTCTCCTTGTCTGAAAGCCCTTTCAGGTCCCAGATCATTTTTATTTCCCATCTCTAGATTCCCTCTTTCTGCTGCTTCTCTTTGAGATATAATATGTGTACAGACAGTAGTTGAAGCCATGTGAGTTTGCTAGCTCAGAGATAAAGAGTGGGATGAGCAGAGAAGGGGGGAAAAGACAGAAATCTATGGTTATCTATAAAAACAAGGAGAAGTAATGACAAAGGAATAAATGCAGACTGTGTAGTGAGAGTCAGTGCTACAGAGGCTGAAGGGGTCAATGATGAGAGCAGTCAACTTTATCAAAACCAGTAGTCAGGTAAGGAGGATAAGATTAGAGTAGAAGCCTCAAGATTTGAGTAAGATGATGTTCTTGAAGCTTGTGGATCCAGTGGAGCGGGAGGGGCGCAGAAGCTGGATGGACACTCCAGTCTGATTCAACATGTTGGATTTTCATGGAGAATTTCTGTGTAGAAAGTGAGTTTTGGTGTTTATGTTACCATAATTAGAAATTAAAAACCATTCTTTGCTTTTGTTGTTAGCAACTGGATGATTCTGAGGGGGAAGGTAATGCAACAGGATTTGCCAAGGGCTTCAGGTTCAAGGTCTGATTCAGAAAAAACAGGAATAGCATGACTTAGTAATAAACAGTTACACCTACTGATGCATCATACTTGCCAGGTAGTGTCTTGCATGCAAATGCGATGGGAGCCATCTCGTCTTGCCAAACTATGCACACACAGGGAAGTTGAACTGAGTTTGGGAAAATCTGTTCTGTGAAAGTGTCACATAGAACGAAGGCATTGCTAATAAGATTTGAAGCTGTTAAACAAAAGGAGACTCTATTATCAAAAACTTCCTAGTCTGACTCACAGGCTAAGTCTATGCTAGTAGTCTCCACATCTCACTGTCTCACTGGATCAGATTTACACTTAGCTGTTTGTGCCCCCATGTCTTTGTTGCGTGTGATTGTTTCAGCAGAAGCTCCAGCACCCCATGAGTAGACATTCCACTGTCCCCTTGCCAATGTCTGGAGCAGTGTGCCATGGGGACATTTTGGCTGTGCATTGTGGGATGCTTACACAGAGCCCTATGCCTTATGGGAGTTCAGGGTCAAATTCTCACAATTCCTTTCGCCCAGTCTCATAACATTTTCTGCACCTACCCACCCCAATTTTCCAGCTATTTTTTAAAATCTCAGTTCCTTGAATTGGTTTTCATTCACTCCATCATTGTGGGTGTTGCATAGGTCCATAGAGTTCTTGTATCATTTTTACAGAGAAACTGCATGGTTTTGCTTTATTTGCAGAACTTCAGTGACTAGTACCCAGTGATTATGGTGTGCATGAAAGTGAGATAGAAATCGGCAATGAATGGGACAAGTGGACGATGTAGAGAGTGCAAAAAATTATCAGGGTGAGATAGACACTTCCTGGGTATCTGTACATGGTGAAGTGGTGCTATTGTGTTTAAGAAATGAGCACTGCGGGATGGGACTGTATTGTGGTGTAGACAGGCTAAAAAATTTTGAACATGGAAGGCCACTGCCCCAGTCATGTGCAGAGCTAGCTCCAGCCCTCTTGTTCAGACCCATCAGAGCTGTTTGATAGTAGAAATGGAAGTGGCAATCCCACTCTGGCAGCTTGCAAGCCCAGACTGCTATCAATCAGTGGGCAATCAATTTGGGGTTGGAAAATCTATGGTGGGGATGGTTGTCATCTGGTATGAAAGTCACTGGGCATATTCTGCTGTACAGAATTGTGACTCTGGGCAACTATGTTGACAGAGTAGATAGGACACGTAGCCCAGGTCCCTCCCTTATACCCTGGAAAGACTTTACTGATTTGGAACAGCCAGATACCAGGGCAATGACAAAGCCCAGGGAGAAGCTATATAGTTAATGAAACCTTTAAAAG